CTCTGTCATCACAGTTTTTTAAGGCTAATGTCACTTGAACGAAATTTGCTGAGCCATCGTTAACAATTACGAATGTTCAAAACATTTCCATAAACTTCTTTGATATTCTTTGGCTACAGAGGAGTTGTTTCCATTCTTGTATTCAAACTGCATTACGTGCCGGATGTGTGTCTCGTGGTGTGTCATCACTACAAGTGATTAGGGTATACTAAACGTTACACATTATATAGGCTACACTAACGTGACGTTTAGCAGGTTCATTTACTACTATTATACTTGAATTACGTTTTTTGGGAGTGGTTAATGAAAGTGTTCCAAAACGCGACATTAATTTTTTGACTACCTAATATTTGACTCCCGCAAAACAAAAATGTAAAAATACCAGCATATACATGACTATAAACAATGCCTTAATACTTCATCACAAGGCAGCCTTAAGAAAAAGTGCATATATAAACATATGAATTTAACTAGACATATATTCAAATATATACAATACAAGATAATATTGTTACGTCTCCGTTTGTTAATTGATTTTCCGTAACTTCGTTCCAACGAAACTTTAACGACACAAGTCTTTACTTAATAAAACTGGTTTATTCTTTCCGAATATAACTCTGCGATACACTTAATCTCAATACTCGCGCTTTGTCGTGTACAAAAATTGGAGTACAGGCCTTCACACGTGCGCTAAACATATTAAGCCATTCCAGTGCGGTAAGTAGCCAATTAAGGGAAATTGTGGACGCATCTCCTCCTAAACGAGTTGACCTATCCATATCAAACTTGGCTTGATAACTTAGTCCAAAAGCAAACCAAATTCACATGAAAAACTTTCTCCATATACCGAAAAATATTTTATAGAATAACCCCTATATTGTTAGTGCAATAGTTATTGTAAGTAGTTCAGTTCCTCAACTTCAACAGGATGCAACTCACATTTTACATATAAAGCCACTCCCCTCTTTTTAGTACTCTATCCGTATTAAATAACCTTGTATTTCACAGAAATGCATCATCAAAATTATCTACATTTAACAATATTTCAGTTATTCCATTTATATCAAAATCCTCCATTCCAACCCATACCTAAAAATCATCTATTTTATTTCTTGTACTTCTAGCATTACAATAGTAACAATTAAGCCTATCCTTAGGATTACTTCTATGCTTATTTTCTATGCAGAACTTTTTTCTACATGTTATTATTTATTTTGTTTCATTTAGTTTATCCTGGCCCTTACCACTGTCTAGTCTTAGTTTAAGTCTTCTCTTACAGCAGAGTTAATAGCCCTTTCAAACAAGGCAGACCCTGCCCAATATAAATGTAAATCATCCATTCCAAAAGCTCTCTTCTACCATTGAACTAATCATAAAAGTTCAACCAGCCTGTCTGCTCATCCTTGCATATTAACTTAAGCCTAACATTTAGTCGTAGTGACCTACTCATAATATCATCCCCACAATCAATTCTCGACACTATCCCTGACACAATTAAGATATGGCCATTTTCTTTAAATGCCTTTATTAACTCCTTCTAGTTATTGATTAGCTCTCTAACTTTCCTTCCCCCAAAATTAACTAGTTTGTATGTGCACAAGAAAAACTGCATCATTGCTAGCCAAAAAGTATTATATCTCTTGCTCTGTCAATTATATTTTCCACCTGTACCCCTGGGTAGCAAAATCTGATTTTTTTTCTCCCTATTCACCCCACAGACTATCCAACCCACCTGCTTTGTCAAGGAATCTCCTATAACTATAACTTCCTTCTCCACCACTTTTGTTTTCCTTCTGCACAATGTTGCTCTATATAACATGCTCACTACAATAAAATCCACTATTTTTAGCCCTAACAGTATTCTAACTTCCTAACAGCCATTGTTGTTAACTGATGTACATCTTGCATGTAAAAACTTAAGCTTTAAAAAAATATTTCGACTATACATTGTGCTTTTGTTTAAACTGTTTCAATTAAAGAAGTCATGCCACATTCTATAAAGATGTTGTTGCGTCAGCGAGTCACATGATTACAGTGACGCATCGTTTCTAGAACTATCATGTACTTTGGCGAATGCTCTAGTATTTTCTAGATAGGGTAGGCTGGTATATATATAAGAGGGGGAAAACGTGACGCGAAAAGGGAAATGTAATGTGTGTATGGATAGTGAGTAATTGAACTGCAGTCACAGGATATTGTTGAAGTTAACGTTAGTTCGTTACAGTGTTGTTTTACAAATATTCATGACGACAAAATACCAATACTTTGTATCATCAAGACATAAGGGAATAAAAACTTGAAAAATCTGTAAAGGAAATTTTAAGGAAGTATCCAGGAGAGTCTACATGTGTGTACGTTAAATTCCAGATCGTATGTGTTATTAGTGAAACGAGTTGCACCTAAATTATGAGAACTATTTTTGCTGGTGTATTCACACAAATATTTCGTTAGAGAGAAAGTTAGCTAAAAACTCCACCTTCATAGACAATCATCATCATCATCTTTAATAAGAAATCAGTCATCCCCCTTCCTTTTTTACGAATACGTTTTCTCCTTTTAGTATTTCGTTTCATGCTATATTAAATATCTGAGGTCAATGCTGATTGCCTCCTTATGCGTACAAACATCTGATAAAGGTGTAAAGCATGTCAATGGTGCTGTCATGCAACTCAAAGGTACTGTAAAAACTGAAAAATCACGTGGAGAGTGTTTTCGATTATCCAGCTCTACCGAACGAAAAGAGGCAGATAGGTATCCGTTTTTTGAACTATTTGCGAAAGAAAAGACAGCCAGTTAACAGCACTTGCCACCACGGTATTTTTGCAGGTTTGTATCATCTTTATAATTCACTCATAGGTGAAATGTCCGATCGTGTTAAACGTATATATTATGTTGTGTATAATAATGTAATAGCCACTTTGTTTTTCACAGGATTTACGTAGATGCAGTGATCAACCATATGACTGGAAATATTGGCGCTGGTCATGGAACTGGAGGAAGCTACTTCGACCCTATTGCTCTTAGGTATGATGGAGTTCCTTATAGTCATTTGGACTTCAATACTAACAAGTGTGGGACTCCTAGTGGAAGTATCGAGAACTATGGTGATGCCCATCAAGTAAGGAACATAAAGGTTTTCGTTTCAGTTTTTTAGCTGGATACATTATCCTCCGTATGTTTGAACTCTACAATTTACATTGCTCGGTCAATTCGTTTAAATGTAAATGTCAGTATTACTAGTAAACATCTCAAATATACCTTTTATAGTTGTTTTATATCAATTAATTTTTACAAGTAACTGACGTAACCTTTTTTGAAAAATTTGTTAACTAGGTTCTTTTCGTTTTGTTATTGCTATAGAGTTTAAGAAATTCTCAGTTCAAATTGACTTGTTTATTTATAGGTACGAAACTGTAGATTAAGTGGCCTTAATGACCTGGATCTCGGTAAAGATTACGTACGTGGAAAAATCGTAGAGTATTTAAACCATTTAATTGATATTGGTGTCGCTGGATTCAGAGTGGACGCTGCTAAACACATGTGGCCTGGAGATTTGAAAGCCGTATTTGAAAACCTTCACGATCTTTCAACAAAATGGTTCAAACCTGGGACTAGGCCGTTTATTTTCATGGAAGTCATTGATCTCGGGGTAGAAGCGATCGGTATGAGAGAATATATTCACTTAGGCCGAGTGACGGAGTTTAGATACAGCTACAAACTTGGTAAGTCTATAGTTACAAGATTTTCATTACCATTTGTAGTGTGTATGTGTATATAATTCATAAGCTAGTTTACAATAAAAATGTGATGCGAAGATCTACGAACGTAACGCTGTCAATATTTACACTTTTGTTTTCAAATTCAATGCAAGCTAATATGTTTCAGAGCAGACAACTATATAAATCTTTTAACTATTACACTATCTACTGAAGATTATCATCGTGGATGTCTAAATCAAGCAATTTGAGAAATAGTTGAGCAGCACTAACCTGTTGGTGTTTAATATATATTGGAGTTTGTCAGACAAATTGGGGGGGGGGGGGTACGTAAATTCTCCTAAACTGCCGCACCTACTTCTAAATGGTACCAAACGAATCATCTTGGTCTGTGTAAATGTGAGCCATAAGCCCACGTGATCGCTAGTATGATAATACTGAGTAGTTGTCATTGTATGAATAAATTTTTCGTTATTTGTTTTGTAGCACCACAAGCTGTTTTCCTCTCCTGGTATTTATCTATTGGAATAATACAAAATAATCTCAACAATTTCCAGCTAATCATCGCTCGTTGTATCACTGAACAGAGAGACAGACAAATAATGGTTGGAGACTGCTTGAATGGGTGATGAAGAAAAACTTTAATATAAGTTTAACATAACAGCAAATGTACAACGTTTCGACAAGGTTTTGTCGTCATCCTTGTACATTTGCTGTTATGTTAAACTTACATTAAAGTTTTTCTTCATCACCCATTCAAGCCGTCTCCAAGCATTATTAGTCTCAAAGTGGGTTTCTCGTCATCGAAAGAGACAGACAGATAGACAAAGAGGCTTTTCATGTGTTTTGGAAAGTGTGCAAATAGAAATCATAATAAAATCGCCATAGATATCTAGGGGTTATTACTTTCTTCCTGGTGGTAAGGACCTATTCGCCCCTTATTAATATTATCATTATATTTGTCAGCTAATTTTTTGGTATTAATTCGTTAAATTTTCTATATAAATTAGAAACTGGACTTACGTCATTCAATAAAATATTTAGTTTACTTGCTGTATTATAAGTTGGTTTCTGTTTACAGGAAATGTAATACGGAAAAGTGGACACGAACAAATGCAGTATTTGAAAACTTTTGGTCAAGGTTGGGGGTTCGTTCACGAGTATGACGCCCTCGTGTTTATCGACAACCACGACAACCAGAGAGGCCATGGAGCTGGTGGGCTTGACGTCATCTTAACCCACTTTCAGCCTCGGATGTACAAGATGGCCACTGCCTTCATGCTAGCATGGCCTTATGGATTTCCTCGAATTATGAGCAGTTACAATTGGCCACGTCACATTGAATGGGGCAAAGATAAAAATGATTGGATTGGTCCACCCCACGACGACGACTACAAAACGCTACCTGTGATTAGAAATTCTGATCTGACATGCGGAAATGGATGGGTTTGTGAACACAGGTATGTAAAAGTATCTGCCACACATTTTAAAGCATACAAGTACAGTGAAAATATTTGTAAATACCGATACTTCTACCGCGTGTGCTAATGAGTAAATCATTTCTTTAACCTAATTTTCATAATATGTAGCACGGTAATGATGTGCTTTTCTATCGCGCTCGCACAGGAGGTAAAATAATGATGCCATGAACCTGAGATAGAAAAAAATATAATGCCCGATTTTAAAATTCTACACATTCAACTGTTTTTAAGTTTGGTTAACTGTTTGTTGCTGGTCTCGCATGGTATTTGATTCAGTTGTATTATTTTAGATTTGATAAACTTAAGGTTATTATACGCCATCTTTGATAATGAAAGCTAGAATATATGATATTTAACTAATCCACCCTAATAGTTCTACCGTAAGTTACTCCAAACCTACACCCTTTTCTAAAAATATGAAATAATAACGTTTTAAATAAAAAATTTAAAAGATCTTATTTAAAATGATCTTAAAACGAACTGCATATCCTAACTCACTTTCTGTGTAGTTGGTATTCCTACCTTTTTCTCTTGTAAAATTATTGAAGAATAGCACTGGATAACTGACACAAGCTAAGAAACTCAAACCTATCTCAACACAAAATAGATATTTCTTTTAATATTTTCAAAAAAAAAGTATAAAAAAAGGGCAAGAACAAATTATTATTATTATTATTACCCCTATTGATAAAGCAGGTTGCAACTTTGGCTTTATATGCAAACAAATTTTATGCAAAATAGTAATTAAAGAAATTTACAATACATTTATTAAAAGTACTTTTAAAAAAAATGATATTATTACCAATATAAAGAAAGCCATTAAAAGTGAAATATACGTATAGATTCTTCTCCATTTCTATGTGCAATTCCAAAATTTCATAACATTTCTATCAAGTTCAGATTTATAACTAATTCTATAAATACAGCTACTGAATCTGTTGTTCTTAATAATATTCTGGATGATGTAGTGTTTGAAAAAATTAAAACTGTTTAAATAATCCAGATAACTGTTTTTGGATTATTACGAACAACAATCCACTTCTGGAATGTATAATTAATTTAAATACTTCATATACGGCCAGTTCTGTTTCCACTTACGATTTTAAGATTTTATAAACTAAGATAGATCTGAAATATTTAAACAAAATATTTAATGATCTGTTCGATAATATGTCTACCCACCCTCAATAGTGTTGTTCCACATATGATGCTAAAAGGCATTATATCACAACTAAAAATATTTTAACTATTTGTAGCAATAGCAATTCTTTTATGGATAATGTTGTATTATTCCCAATAAATGAAAAATAATGGTTATTGGCAATTGAAAAGTTTTCACACTATTTTATAATAAATATGAAAATATTTTCCAAAATAAAATTTCTAATTTAAAAAATACCGTTTTTGTCACTAGAGGTAGCAAACTACCTTTAAATAGCTAAATTTAAAATTTATTCAGTATTGCCGGGACTGGAAAGACCAAATTCACGTAGCTTGGCTTGTCTCGGCTATTCACTGTTATACTTTAATAATTTTACAAGATAAAAAGGGAGAAATATGAACTACACAGAAATTTTGAGGTAGAGTATGTACTTTGTTTTAAAATTATAAATAATATTTTTTAAATTTGATTTAAAACATTATTATGTCATCTTTTTAGAAAAGGGTGGAGGATGGGAGTAACTAGTAGTAGAATTATTAGGGTGGACTTATCTTTTTTCTACTTTAGGAACTATTAGTAGAAACATTTTTAGGGTGGTTTTATTTGATTTCTACTTTTGGTATTAGTAGTACTTGTAAGTTTTAACTTCCCACAACTGGCTGCAGACAGTGAAAGGCAATCAATAATTTCCATTCAAAAAAAAAAGGAGAAACCTGAGGGTGGGGGGGGGGGTTCTTTTTAAAAACTGATTTTGATAATATAATCTTTTTTTTTTTCAAAATCAATTGGATTTCAATTTTACTATGCTGTTTCTGGTTTATATTAAATTAATTGTTTTATAGTGCTTATTTTAATCGCCTATTAAAAATTAATGTATTACATAGCATTGCATTTAGTGATTTACTCTTATTCCCAAGCAGTGACTTGTAACTTTGTATTGAGTTTGCATTAAAACAGATAAAACCTATATTTCCAAGAAAAAACTTGTTTTTGTGCTCAACATTGTAGTATACTGATCTGGAGCTGCACAGCATCTAGTACCTGACACATCGAGCAAACATCATTCGGATATGTTTACGTTAACTTTCTAATTCACTGCATCTTTTGAATAGATGGCGTCAAATTTACCATATGGTAAGGTTCAGGAACGTGGTTGGAGCCAGTCAAGTGGAAAACTGGTGGGATAACGGTGGAAATCAGATCGCTTTCAGTCGAGGCAATCGTGGCTTCGTCGCCATCAATAATGAGAATTTCCCACTCAATAAACGTTTGCAAACCGGCCTAGAAGCTGGAAGTTACTGTGACGTTATTTCTGGAAACAGGAAAGACGACACTTGTACTGGTCATCTTATTGAAGTTGACGAATTAGGATATAGCCAGATTTTTATAGACAATAAGTTGGAAGATCCAGTCTTAGCAATTCATCTAGAGGTAACTAATGACTTCTTGAGTGATTTATTAGCGTTCAATAATGTCAAGTAACATTCCCCTTTCACTGACACTTTGATAGCCACTCTATATTGTGTCCGCATGAAATCTAGTAAACGATTGATTAATGGTATTGATGGAAGTGAACAGAACGTTCTGATCGAAATTTTAATTTTAACAATATTCCTGATTTCATCTAACTTGAACTTCTTTAAAAATAAATGAAGTAATAACCATAATTTTAAGTATGGATAACATATGCAACTAGTTTTTTGCATTCTCTTTAGAATTACATTTAGACATATTTTGGAAAGCTCTATCCAGAAAATGTTAATTCCTAATTCAAGTATTTATATTAAGAAATATATAAAGTGAAAATGTCTGCGGTTATAGCTCCCAAAAGCATTGGGGATATTCCGTCTATCAGACATAATCAAAACAACAGATGCAGAGCTAGTCAGCATGTAACCGAAAAAAAAGGGGATTAGGATCTGGATGCTAGAACCCACAACGTCCCAGATCCCACTATCACTCACCTCTATAGCCGTTGTGGGTATGATAGTTATTTCTAAAAAAAAACACAAAAAAAACAACATAAAAATAGAAATAAGATATTAAACCACCCTTGATTTCTATCATAGATCATCCAACCTTCTACTTAGTATATTTAGTTCAATATTAAATTACGAAATATACAACCTTACTGTACATTTCAAGTAATAATATTTATTTACACTTTATCACTGCAAGATATTAAAAACTATTCAACATAGTATAGGCAGTAATACTTTAAATAATATTTCAGTTAATGTTTTTATTATTAACTATAAACTATATAGCTACCATCATTTTAAATTTCTGTTACGACAGCGGAAGTCACGTGACGCTAGTAATACGTCATGAAATTCTAGAAGGATCTTGTCTGTTCGTGGCAACTCGTCTTCTGTATGCGCCCTCTATTTTTTGTATATAGAAGACCGGCGAGAAGTGACGGCATAGATATATAGAGAATTGCAGACAGACAGAGACGGACAATTGAGTCAAGCGCGTGAATCGTTCGTTGTGAATTATAGCGTGTGTTTATGTTAAAGTGACTGTGGAAATTAAGTGTATTGCAAAGTTCTATGAAGAAAGAATAAACTAGTTTTATTTAAGAAAGGACTTGTATCGCTGAAGTTTCTCGGGAAGAATTTCTACGGGGAATTAACAAACGAACAGAGACGTAACATCTCTATCTGCAGGACACAGGTTCAAGTGTATCTGAACCATTAGAATAATAAATTCTACAAATGGTATAATTTTACATTGTTATATTAGAACTTTGTTGGCACGTTTACTTACTTGTACAATAAATAAATTGTAGGTTTTATATATTAACTTTTTTCTACATCTTGTTTTCAGGCCAAGCTTTGAAGTGACTGGAAAAAACGGCAGCTTTCGATTTATAATTAATCATTTTATTACATTAGGATTTTTATTATTCATAGTAAAAAGTTTTAATAAAAACTGATTCTTTCCCTTCTTATAACATGATTTTCATTACTTGTGTGGTCTGTGCTTAAACACGTCGTTATTTTTTATAAATATTTTTAAACTTCACATAAGATGTAACCACACATCTCTATCTCTGATAGGTTTAAAACGATTACTTTACCTTTGGTTGGACATTATTTTAAAATTTAGCGTAAGAACTGATGCCAGTGAGGAAAAACGTTACCAGCGAGATAACAGTAACTGCTTCGAATCAACAGTAGGACGTAGAACAAGTCATCGATTTAATAGACAACAGATAAAATTGGAAAAGTATCACAGACTCATCGCACCCAAGTTTGATTTTACAGAAACTTATCGCAGCGTAAAAGAAATTCGCATATTTACATACTTGTACACAAGAGGATATTTTCGTGAAATTTCTGTTAGGAATAGAAGAAAAGTTTCTTTTTTTAGTTCGCTGTAAAATAAATAAGCATCAAAACTTTCACTTCAAAGTTTCTTGAAGCTAATTAGAAAACAACACTATAGGCATAATTTTTTATTTATTACATATTTTGTATTAGTTTTTTTTGTTTGCTTTATTATAAGTACTGTCCCGCTACCCTACTACTACAGCTGTACAGTGATGTGTGTAGTAGTAATTTATATCGTACACCAAGATACTCTAAAGCTACTCTATTGGAGAAGTTTAATGAACTTTTATAGGTTACATGATATAGTTATGGACGATTATATTGATTATACTAAACCTATTATATTTCATAACACTACGTTCTCTATTCGGTCTCTTAATTATAATCATGACGTTCACACCATAAGAATGTTATAACAAGTAATTTATATAAATAGTGTTAAGAACACTATTGTGTGTCCCTAGTCGGCCAGAGGGATGACCTGTAATATGTAAGGGTCTTTTTTTTTTTTCTTTTTTGCTGGCTTCTCCCATCCACACAACACTGGGGATTTTGATACACTTCTGGACTAAAAAACTTGTAGGATAGTGATTAAAGTATTAATTTCACTTTTTATGAAAATACTTCAAAGTTCAAGCTCTGTAACACTCCAAAAGGGCTGGCTCTCCACCCACACATAAGAAGGCTAGTCTATCAAAAACTGGAAAAGTTACCTTTCCTGTGTCCCTTTCTCAGTATACCAGACATTGTAACAAAAGTTCTTTAAGGATGCGGGTTTAATCTCATAACTACTAAGAGCTACTATTTTTTTTGTTGTTTCTTTTTTTCTAGAAACAAGCCAGTAACCGTGATTTCATTTCTCTAGAAGTTAAATGTACAAAGATTACATAGGTGGCACAACAGATACGTGTACAACACGTGCCTAGACGCACATCACTAGAAGTAAACACATTCACCATCATGTCCAACTACCACCCACTGTAGTCATACCATCAACTACATCACTACAATCTAAGAGCTAGAGAACCTAAACACAATGGGTACTACATTTAAAAAAATATAATAAAAAAAATTCAATTAAATATTCAGTGGAAACAGGCCCACTGCAGTTCGAATAATCTTATGTCAACTCCAGAATACAACAAATGTATAAACAGGCAATGTTGTAGTCGAGACCTCAATGTCCAAGACCGAGACCTTGTAATAAATTACACAATGAAAAATAATACAAGAAGAATAAAAATCACATGCATCAAATAAACTCTATTAACATTTTAACCGCAAATCTTTCACACATTAACCCCAAGTCTTTGTTTTAACGTCTCCTATGAAAAACAAAAACAAAAAAAAAACACAAAACTAATGAATGAATAAAAAAAAATGTCAGCAAATAAATCTAAAACCAATATCGGTGTCAGTATATTCGTTGTGATCTTTGAAGCCAAGTGGGATCACACCAGGTCGAATATCGGGTATAATCGTTGAGCAACACAAGAATAGTAGTAACTTGGATTCTACTAAATGATGGCAGAGTCCTGTTCTACTTGATTTTATTTGAGTGAAATTTCTCGAGATGCTGAATGTATTTTAAGTCCTTATTTGTAGATATCAATATCATATCCGACTAAATTACTATAGATGTTGGAACTACACTACAGTATTTACTTAGTTCTCTAGCTTCTCCTTCACCGTTTGCAGTGTTTTAGGTCTCGAGACCATTCTTTGGAAGGACTCGATGTTTAACAAGTTTCGAAAAAACACCCGGCTAAATTTAAGTATTAGACCAATCAGCTACCAAAGATTATTAAGCGCTAAATATCGATTATGCAGCAGTTCGTGCGAGGCACGGTGTAGCATTAAAACAGTTTTACTGGTAAAACCCCTTAGTAGTTCGTACTACACCTTTGTAATAATGTTTATAGCACCTCCGTAACCTGTACGCCAAGCCGCGGTTATAACACGCGCTTCTCAAAACCAACTTCTATTATACATTACGTAATGCGTAGACTTACCGAAAGTTTGTATGAATTTCCTCTGGTGCACGTATTTACGTTAATGATGTATTTTATTGCTGTAGTGCAGACCGCCACAGACTCGTTAGTTCAATGCAAGTATGATTGTTGCAGTTACTCAATGCAGTTGTAGATTATTGACAGTTGATATGATTGTTGGTAATTGGTACGAGTTGTGACAGATTATGAGGCTGAAAGTATTTTACGGCCCTTGCTTTCCAAGCACTCGGATGGAGGTTTGTAGTGAACACCGAGAGATGGTTTTCTTATAAACTGTCCGAGAGGTCTCGGTGTTGTTGTGTAACTTTGAGTTACATTTACACACATTTCCGTATCTAGAATATATGTACCATTCTTCCAGAAGTAAAGAATTAGGCTTTCATACCCATACCATTAGGACTAGTCTTTATTTTATCCTTAGAAAATTCCACACACCAAACTATGATTTACACTGATTATGTTGGACAAGTTAAAGCAATATGCTACTGACGAATATCTTGTGCACTAGTTGGGCAAGAACCGAATTGAAAAATATAAAAGACTGAGGAGAATCAGAGCACTAGCTCAGTTGACAAAAAAAGGAAGATTCCGTTGACTTGTGAAGCTATATATGAAAAGCCAAGCAACAGTGAGCCTTTGTGGAAACACATTTAAGAATTAACCAAAAGAATAAACTTAATCTACAAGTTAATGTGGTTGAAACTGAAATGAGTCAGCCATTGGTCCACATATTTCAACCGTGTCTGAATGTGGTAGCCAAAGAGCTAAATATAGGTATCAACCCTATCACTCCTACCTATATAGTGATTGTTGAGAAAGATTTGATATAGCTGGAGGATCTAAATGTCAAACAGAAGTTGTGACCCTTATATCATGAGGTGTAGATTGGGCTTTCATGATGAAATGTCCTTGTATTTTGTATTAGCTCAATTAGTTGTGTGACTGGAAGCCTGGATCACTATAACAGCAAATGAAACAGTGTAGTGATTTTTCTCTTACAGAACTACCTATTGAAAATCATTTCGGTATTCAACGTGAGTTAAAAGATGTAGTAATTACCAAAAATGTTGCTGCTACGTCTTAT